CACCTATTTTGGTCACGTTGTCAAAAGGGACCACTCCTTGGAGAAGGATGTCATGCTTGGTAGGGTGGAGGGTCGATGAAAGAGGGGGAGGCCTTCAATGAGATGGATTGACACGGTGGCTGTGATGATGGGCTCAAGTATAGCAGGGATTGTGGAGCTGGTGCGGGATCGGGCGGTGTTTAGTTCTGCTGTGCATGGGGTCTCTACGAGTCGGAAACGACTCGACGGCACCTAACAACAGATGGCTAATGATTGTTGTTTCTTCATGTATTTTAGCTGCCTGAATGTCTTCTTTTGTGAAGTGTATATTCATGTTCTCTACACATTTAGCTGGATAGTGTTGTTGTTGTTAAGGTGTTGGGAGTTTTCAATACAGTTTTGAGATTAGTCCCTTGTCCGATAGGTCGTTGCCAAAATTTTTTCCCCCCACAGATTAGGTCATTTTCAAATCATCTATGCAGTTCCCAGTGCATAGAAACCCCAAGTTTCTGCTGCTATGCAGGAAGGTTTGTCTCACTGAGTCCAGATTCTACTCCGGAGCTTTTGGATTCAAGCCAAGGAATGAAAAAGTTCAAGTGATGTGCTAAGGAAGACAGCATCAAGCTCTGCAGATGTCTAGGACTAGATGCAGCTCTGCAGACAAAGTTAGCAGCTCAAGGTCCAGTCACTCCAACACACTGTATGATCCCACTTAGAGAAAACTCCAGAAAAGGCAAACTAATTTTAGTAACAGAAAACAGATCAGCAGTTGCTTGGGGATGGGGGAGACAGGTAGGGTGGGAGGAAGGGCTTACAAAGGGGCATGAGAAAACGTGGGGATAAGGGGTATGCTCACTACCTTGTTTGTGGTGATGCGTTCATGGGTGTCACGTACAGCTTATCAGCCTGTACCCTTTAAATACATACAGTACAATGCACATCAGTGATACTGCATAAAGCGGTGCTGCTGTTGTTTAAAGACGAATTGCTCCGTAAGTTAGGGAGCCATCGCGGAAGGCACACACTGCACGCCTGTCCTGGGTACAGAGTCACCCACACTCACTCTGAGGATAAACGCAGCAGGAGTTGGAGTCAACGAGAAATAAAGCACAGGCTGAGCCACCTTCTCAGTGTGAAGGCTCTGGAGCATGGAAGGCAGGCACCCACCTTCCTCTGGAAGTTCACCACACACTTGTGAACTTGGGAGACCAGGAAGGGTGCTGACTTAGTTGGTCCAGCTGGGCAACTTCAGAGCCACGAGGCAGTGAAAGGAAGTGAAAAGAAACACTGATTCTGTTTTAAAAATTTATTGTTTTTTCCTCTTTCCTTTGTTGTTGATTTGTTCTCAAGATGGCAACACCACCAAATAGCCAGTGCCCTCCCATCGACCGCCTGTGAGGGCTGCACACCTTCACACAGCAAGACCTGCATGGACTTCCCTCTCCCACCCCATCCCCCTGAAGCCAAATGATTTCCACATTTTTCAGTAAAATACAGTCAGCCCTGTAAAACTCTTCTCTCCCTCCTACCCTCCTTTTCTCTCTCTCATCTGTTTGGGGAAAATTAACTAAGAAAAAACAACACCCTTAAAAAACCAAAACCAAGTGAATTTGCTCTGTAAATTTTCACCCAAATCACAACTAAAAAAAAAACAAAACAAACCACAACCAAAACCTTAGCATATACACTTACCTCCCACCCACCCTCAATCTGGCTCTTTTTTCCAAGGCTAACCACCATCGACGTGGCCTGTAAGGGGATTACAGACTGAGTGGATCAGGGCTGGGATACCCGTGCATCAATCGTGGGCCCAGCAGATCCTGAGTATCGCTGATGTGACATATGCTATAAAGCAGAACCAACTCCACGCTTACTCGTGCTTGTCTCAACAATTCTAAAAGTGGGCAAGAGCCGGGGAGGTGGGAGAAATTCCTACTTGCTCCTGTGGTGAAAAAGGTGGGGGAGGGAGAACAACAGAGAACCTGAAGAAGCACCACCTCGACTTTCCTTCCAACTCCACTTGAATTCACATGGCTTCCCGCATTTTCCCGAAGCAAACGTTTTTGTTTCATGGCGTCTGTTTCTTGTGTGTGCGCGCGTGTGCATCTGCGTGGGTGTGTGTGCGCGCGTGCGTGCGTTATCTGCTACCAGGCAAATGTTTCAGTTCTGGTTTCAATTAAGTTTTCCTTTTTTCCCTTTTTATTTCCTTAAAATTTTTTTTTCCTTTTAGAAACAAGTTCACCAGGAAACCAGCTTCCCTCCCACCCTGCCGGACAGGCCGCAGCCGTCTTTTTTTTGAACCGCGCTGATTTTCCCTCACACTCCCAAACAGGAACTCCTCAGAATGGCCTCAAAGGCTGGAGTCTCTCCCTGTCTGGCGGGACGCCCTGGTGGCGGTGAAGGCCCCTCTGCCACATGGAGGTTTCTGATTGTGGGACACAGTCTGGATTTTTTCTTCCTGTCTTCTAATTAAAAAAGACATTCCTGAGGAAAGAGAAAGGGCAGTCAAGTCACTGTGCTCGAAGAGATGGGGAGCAGCAGGCAGCCAGCCTCAGGGCAGGTCTCTATTCCTGCTTAGGTCCCTCATTCTGGCCTTGCCTTTAAGGGCACAGGAGAAAAATCAACATAAAAGATGGATTTTTGGTTTTGAGTTCAAGGGAGCTACAGCTTTAATAAACATTGTCTGAACTGCCTTTTCTGTTTTTCCAAGACTGAGTAGATGTAGAAATTGGATCCTATGAGGGGTAAGGAGTGAGCCAGGAGCTCTCAGGTCGCCCGTTCCACACCAGCCAGCAAAGTTCCAATAGTCTGTTTAAATACTAGGGTTTCCTGTGAAAGTTCATTCTGAAAGGAGGCTTCACCCACCAATAAAAGTCTAAAAACCAGATTAGATTGCTGACAGGGTGCTGTGTGGAAGTACTAAAAGGGTGGTTAAGACTGAGGGTGCAGGTACTGGAAGGGCTATTTGGATTCTGGCTTCACCAATTCCTGCCTGTGTGACATGGAGCGAATTGTTGAACTTCCTGGCACTTCAATTCCTCATCTGTAAAATGGGAATAATAAGAGTAACTAACCCAGAGTACTGTATGAGGATTACCTCAGTTAATACATCTGAAAGCACACAATTAAGAGCCAATAACTGTTAGCGATAATTTACCCATTTAGCCCATGAACAATCTGTAACATGCATCAGTGTTAGCTATTAAGAGACACTATGCAAAATAAGATGATCCCAAATGACATTATCACCTGTCAAAGAACCAAAGTTGAGAAGCAACCTCTGGTGCATGGAGGCATACTGACCACCAGGCTCCCTTAGGATTCTACCACGGGGTCAGCCACCAAAGTGCCACTGGGCACTGAGGACAGCCTCTTGGGAGAATTAATTCTGCTTCAGGGTGGGCTCAGAGGACAGTTGCTTTCCTTCTCGCAGTCACAAGACAACACCCATATTCCACCACCTGTCCTTCCTCTCCTCAGCTAAGCTTTTTGCTTTGCTTCAGAATCCAGAGTCAGGAAGCACATGGAGAAAACTAATGATGAGAAGGTCACCAAAGATGGCACGGCTCCTTTCCTGTCCCTCTGCCTTGGTCAGACCAGCACATCATCATTCAGGTCATAAGAACGGTAACACCAAACACCTTTGCTCACTGAGTCAGTTTCAGGAGACTGGGGCCATGGGTCACGGTCAAGTTTAGGTTAGCACTACTTTCATCAAGAGTGAGGTTTGAAATACTTATTTGTTTGTTACCATATACACTTAGCATTCTAGGAGTATCTATAAGGGAAAGCAAGGAAGAATTTTTTTGAGGCATTCTGTAATTTCTTATGAAGGTGAAAATGGCACCCAACATAACATACTACACAAAACATTGTTGAATCTCCTACTTTGGCGAGTAGTGACTGGGATCTTAAAAGCTTGAAAGCTGCCATCTAGATGCAATGATGGGTCTCTCCTCGTCCAGAGCAAAGAAGAATGAAAACCAAAAATTCATGGAAACAATTAGTCCTAGCGACTGGTATACCATCCGATCTGCAGCCTATATGACTAGATGGTGCCCGGCTACTACTGTCAACCACTTGGAAGGGGATCTATGTAGGAGATCCTGGACAGAGAGGGAAAACAATGTGGGACAAAACTCAAAATGATTTGGAGAAAAAAAAAGGGGGGACCAGGTTTGCTGATCCGATAGAGCCTAGTGGAACCAATGAGACTATGGCCCCTAACTGCCCTTCAGGTCCGGAATTAAACCCACACCTGTGGCTTCCAGCCAAACAAAAGACAGGTATATGAGTTGAACATTTACCTGAGGTAGATACACTCCTTGGAGAGAACAATCGTGGGAGAAAGAAGGGCTGCTTATGCACAGGGAGACAGCTCAGGGGGCAGGAGTGCATGGAGGGATGGACACTGGGAAGAGGTATAACTATGGGGAGGAAGGAGGAGGGGAGCTGTTGCATTGTGGTAAATTGTGGTCAATGTCATGAGACAAAGTGTATGTGAACTGCTGTAAGGAAAGTGAATTTGCTCTATAAACCTTCACCCAAATCACAATAAAAAAAGAAAATGGCACCCAAAAGAAGCTGGCAAGTACTTGGCTGCCTTGGTCTAAGAAAATCTGGGCCCTGCCTTTTCCAGCTGCTCAGTGACATTAAACTGGTAAGTCCTTCCTTGACTGGCTTAGGGCACTCCTACACTGGGCATTAAAATATACCCCCCGGGAACTACCAGAACCATACCCCACTCACCTGGGTGACAGGCACAGTGCAGGAGTGTGAGCTATCGAAACAATCTGGTGAAGTCTCTCAAGGCCCAGCAAACTTGCTTACATTCCTCAGCACTGGAAAGAAAGACACAACATGCTGAAGGCAAGAGCAACCAGAGGGGCGAGGGCTGTCCCAGGCTGGCTGCACGCTCTCCTCTGTCTCCCTGCTGCAGACTCTTCTCTGGCTCCAGGGTAACACGGACTATCTTTTGTGAGAATGACTACAAGTTTGGTGGTCCTTTCAGAGTGGGCTGTGGAGACAAAATTCCTGGGTTGGAATCGTGGCTTCGCTGTGTCCTTGGGCAAGAAGCCCTAAGAGTACAGGACAAGCGATTCCCCTCAGGCTCACATCATCCCACCTCCACGAGCTGAGCTAACTGAGGTGCTGTGGTTCCCTCATTCTCCGGCAAAGGCCGATTTTGTTCGCTAAGCCCCAGCAACCAAGTCTCCATCAGTCATCAATTTTCTAGTTGAGCAGCTTGTTCAGGGTCTCCTCCAGTGGGTGGAGGTGGTGGAGGAAGGGGAATGGGTTAAGGCATGGAGAAGAAAGGAGGAGGAAGTAGAGGAGGCGGGAAGCTGGTCTTCAGCCAACACTGAGATGCGTGTAGGGTACAGGCCCTCAAAGAGCCTCGGTGCTGACCAGACCCTATTGTTTTAACAGGTTTTTACAGAGTGGCATAGTGCCTAAGGCATTTGACTGCTAACCAGAAGGTTGGTGGTTCAAACCCACCAGCCACTCCTTGGAAGGAAGACCGGGCAATCTACTTCCGTAAAGATTTACCTCCTTGGAAATCCAATGGAGGTCGCTATGAGTCTGAATTGGCTCAATGGCAGTGGGTCTGGTTTTCTTTTTGGTTTTGTCCAAAACTGTCACTAAGAAACTTCCTTCTTTTGTATCTGTCTTCCTAACAGGTTTTGATAACTAAACATGAGGCTAAGCAAAAAACACTGCAAAAGGAAATACTTCCTAACATGCTCCCTTTTCTATGGCCCTCTCCCTGGATTAGAAAAACTCAGGACCACTGTTGATTGCCAGGACTCAATGTTAGAAGAAAGCTCTCTTTCCATCTTGGAATGATTAAACACCAGTGAGAGAACTGCTAAGAGTGGTCCAACAAGAAAGAAGGTGAGATGAGAGCTATCACTTTAAGTGCCTACACCCAGACTTCCCATCTGTCAGAAGGTCTATACCACCACTAAGAATACTGACTTAAACCCCAGAGTGTGATACAGCAGAGTATTCTAAAACTTTTCTTCTAGTCTCTCTCCATCCTGAAAATGAGGAAGTTCTTCTGGTTTTATTGAAATGCTGTCCCTTGCTCTTTTGTGGATTTTAGAAGCATCAATCAAGACATTCTCTCGGGCTACTTCCTTCCTATCAGCACTGACTGTTAAGGAGGCAGGCAGGTGAGTGAGCATGTATTCTCTCACTCCTGGTGTCAGGAAGGAGGAAGGAAACCCAGGAGAGACCACTGTGTGGTGGTGTCACCACAAGGGACTAAGATGCCAGGAAATCCTAGAGCCCAGGCTATGCTCTATGCTAAGTTTTCTCACCCTGTTAACATCTCTTAGGTGTTGTACACCATCCCCTTCTTCATCCAGAGCTCTTGATGTATTCTGGGAGAATAATGACAGTGCCATCCTCAGCCTCTCTGGTGACACATGAGGAGACATACCAAACCCGAAATGCAGGAGGGCTGCAGTGTGAAGGGGAATGAAGGCCAGGCCCCAGTATCTCAAGTCAGCTCAGCTTCTGCTCCAACCCACTACAATAGCTGCCTTGATGTCATGAACTCCAAAAAGATGTCCAACCAGTGTCTTTGGTAATGTAAGCCCAGTGAAATGGATGAAGGGAAAAAAAAAAAAAAAGCAGCTTCCTTAAAAGCTACAACTCTTTTCTGTTTTTGGCCTCAGTCCTTTCCTCAAGCCCTGCAATCCTAGGGCTGTGCTGAGAAATGCAGCCCTCTTCATCTGATGTTCAGGAAGATAAAGGAGAATAACCAAGCCCAGGTGAGGACCTGAGCTGGAAGGCACCCCCTTCCTGGCCTCTAAGTCTCCTGTCAGTGATTCCTTGTTCAACATCTTTCAGCCTTAAAGATCCCATGTTAGTGATAAGGGTCAGAGTAACCACCAGGATAGAGAATCAGAAATGGTGCTAGGATTCCTTTAACCATTAGTTTGGGTCAATGGTGGGCTCGTTTAGTGTTTAGGAAGACTAGTTTGGAATGAAATGGCCCACTGTTCTTCAAGATGACCAACTAAAATACCTAGGCAGCTAATTACCAGTATCATTTGCAAACAAGTGTGGGCTTGCTGAAAAGAAACTGAACCAGTCCGCCCTCCCTGCTGGGATGGCAAACAAAGCAGCATGTTCAGGCAGGAGTTGCAGGACCTTAAAACCAAAAGGGAGACTGAGTCATGCACAGAACTGCAGGTTCAAGGGCAGGAGGCCTACTACTGAAAGAGAATTACTAAGAGCAGGTGAGCAATCGCAAATCTTCCCTGTGGACCTCAACATCACCTTTTACTTCTGTTCATTTCCCACCGTGATGTCACAGCTTCCATAAAGGAGGAGCTGTAAAACTCGTTCAGCGATGAAGGACTGCACAGGCTGGCTTGGCAGCACTTCTCACTTATCACAACTATTTCTGCTCACAGTACTGCATTATTTAGGTCCCTTCTCCTTACCCTGAGATTTTCCTTAAATCAGAGAATGATGTCCATGACCTTGATTTCAGACTCACCCTTTTGTTTCATTGGTCCTGTATAAGCCCTGTCAAAGGTTATGGGCTTGGCAGAGACTTATTCCAGAAGGTGTGGGTGGCTGCCTCAGTACTGGCAGGAGACATGCCTCAGCTAGTTATGCAAGCACGCAACAACTCTCTGGCAGTTTGCTTTCCAAGGGGAAGGAGTTAGCATTCCCTGACTGCCTACTATGTGCCACGCTTTCTGAAAGATGTCTACTTGCTATCTCACAATAACACTATTTACAGATGAAGAAACTTAAGTCCTCAGTGCCAGAAGCAGTAGGTGGTAAGATTCAAACCAACATTCTTGGCTTTAAGCCTCGTCTCTCCATACTTTACTTACGGCCTCAGACTGAAATGTTAAAACAATGTCAAAATGTTAAAACAATGCTCCTCTGAGCATTTTCCACAGGCTTCCATTCGCTCCGAGGTAATCAGCGCCAAGCTGATTCTGTCCTAAGCAACATAAGATGGGAATACGACAGAAGCAGAGAGAGAATACATTACACCGCTCTCCTCTGAAGCAGCTTGATGGTAGAAGACTATTTCTATCAGATTATCTTGTAAGCCATTCCAGTCAACAGACACCTACCTACTGGAGGGGAAGAAGCCTTAGTGGCACAGTGATTAAATGCTCGACTGCTGGTGGTTTGAACCTATCAGCTGCTCTGTCAGAGAAATAGATGGCAGACTGCTTTTGGAAAGACTGCCTTGGAAACCCTATGGAACAGTTCTAATCTGTGCTACAGGGTCACTAAGTCAGAATCAACTTGACGGCAATAGGTTTTGATTTAATGGAGGGGAAGCCCCATGTGTGGAAAAATGTGTCGCAGAGGCAGTCACATGCTACCTTCCTGTCATGCATGTCACTTGAAGTAGGACTAAAAATCAGTAACTTCTGGGGTATGACAATGAGCCATTAGCAAGCTACAACATAACAGTACTCCAGGGTTTGGTATTTTAACATTAAAAAACTTTGGGGGATGAGAAAAGAAATTATTTTGCAAAGTAACACTGAAGAAATCAACTGTAAGAAAAGAAGATTAACTATTGTACCACTGCCGAAAGTTTATTTTATTTCTTCTGATTTTTAAAAAACTTCCCTATACACATTTTTCCTTATTCTTTTTAGTAAAAAACAAACAAACAAAAAAAAACAACCTCCAAACTCACTGCCATTGAGTCAATCCTGACTCATAGCAACCCCTCCTTGGGTTTCCAAGGTGGTATCTCTATGGAAGTAGATTGCCCAGTCTTCCTTCCGAAGAGTGGCTGGTGGGTTTGAATTGCCAGCCTCCTGGTTAGTAGTCCTGGTTAGTAGCCTTAGAAACTACACCACCAGAGCTCCAGTATGAATACAAGCCATTGCCAAATTTTAAAGACTCTAGATATGAAAGGGAGTATCAGGACAATCACACATGATTAACCAAATTTAAGATGCTATCATTAATCCTAAAGAGCCCTGGTGGTGCTGTGGTAAGGCACTCGGCTGCTAACCACAAGATCAGTGGTTTGAACCCACCAGCTGCTCCAAGGAAGAAAGATGGGGCGATCTGTTTCCGTAAAGATTGACATCCTTGGAAACCCTACGGGGTCACACTACCAGTTGGTATCAACTTCATGGCAAGGAGTTTGTTTTTTGAGCTTTTGGTCATTAATACTATCAAGGACTATAAAATGTTCATAACCTTTCATTCAGTGATTATATTTTAAGAAAAATATTCAAAATTAAGGAAGTTATCTAGACTTTTAGAGACAATAAGGAAACCAACTAACAACTACTTTTGTCCCATCTGCCACCTATCAGCTCTGTTACAGGAAGACTATGGAGCAGTAGCAAAAACACAGATTTGTTCACAGTGAGAAACGCTCGCACATCTCTACATTTAAAGCAAGCTGTGACCCAGACTGTGAACTGGTGTCCCTGGGCCTAATGCAGCCCAGGGAGATCCTGTTTGTCCACACCACTTCTGTGAACTCGGGGCATCTTCGGCCACAACAGATGGTCTCCCACTTGCTGCTGTCTACACCCCTCTCCGGGAGCTCCGGTGGCATAGTACCTAAGGCACTTGACTGCTAACCAGAGGCTGGCAGTTCAAACCCCCCAGCCACTCCTTGGAAGGAAGGTTGGGCAATCTACTTCCATAGTGATACTGCCTGAGAAACCCAAGGAGGGGTCGCTATGAGTCAGTCCGACTCGATGGCAGTGAGTTGACACCCCTTTCTAATGCCTTCCCACCCATCCTTCCCCTATTTAGTATTTAGGCACCAGCTTTCTTGATCTCTGAACATGGACCAGAACTGAGAGAGTGCTTCAGAAAGAGAATAGGGAGCCCCTGAGGGGGTTGCTCAGTGCATTTTTCTTTTGGGCGAAAAATAGTGCTGTCACCTATCCTTTAGGATCTTATATGAGTTGATATATATGTGTAATAAATATATGCTTTGGTAGCATAGTGGCTAAGGCACTTGACTGCTAACCAGAAGGCTGGCGGTTCAAACCCACCAGCCACTCCTCGGAAGGAAGGTTGGGCAGTCTACTTCCATAGTGATATAGCCTCAGAAACCCAAGGAGGGTTCGCTATGAGTTGGGTCCGACTTGACGGCACATAACAACAACAACAACAATAACAATAACTGATGTACATACATACAGCATTATAATATCGGCTCCCAATGCCAATTTGTGCAATTCAAGGCTAAATAGACACTAAATTGTGAATTTATCAGGGCATACAAGAATCATACTTGTGGGTAGATCTGTAACTAAGACAGTATAGCAAACAAAGGTATGTTTTGTCCACATTCCCCAGCTCAGCACAGTCCTGTCAGGAACCCCCAGCATCTCACCTCGTGACTTGCTTGTGGAAGTCTGTAAGTTGTTTGTGTGTCACTGTGACGGCTCCCACGGTCGTCTCCTTTGGTAAACCTTTCAAGGAATTCTCTAACCATCGGCAAAAAGTCTGTAAAGAGAAGAGTGATAGTAATTTTAAAAGAGGCAGGGCTTAACACTAAGAGAAACCTAGCAAGTTTTCCTCAGTAGCATTTGCTCCCCTAGATTCGGGGGCCAAACGAAGGTACCGACAAAGGGCCAATCTTCAGAAATCAACTCCTGTGGGTTGAGGCCCCTGACAGGCGCGAGCCTAGACTGCCTTTCAAAGGGGCAGCAGCCATTGCTCCCAACACCAAAGGGAAGCCTCTTCTGGGTCAAGCTACTGTTCTGTTCCTGTCTTTAAAATTACATCATTTAAAAACTTCAATAGATGTCAGAAAACTCAAGTTTAAAGATCAAATTCAATCTAAAACAAGGGGTCAGGTACCAAAAAATGAGTGGGAGCAAAAAGTGTACCAAGTACACAGATGTCAGAACACACACATGTGACATGAGGGCCCAGGACCTCAAGGATTCGAAGGCCCTTATCTCAGCAGGAGTGCAGTCATTCAGTTCCTTTTGACAGTCACCTGCTCTTCGGGGTAGAGTTCTTTCTCTAACAGAAATCTTATTCTGTTGCTATTTAAAATAATGTGTTCAATCCTGTGTCAAATGGAGAGGGGAAACATCTAAGAACAGTCTCTCCTCCTCTATTTCCTGCCCCCTCACTTCCTTCCTCTTCAAACCAAGCACCAAAATTTCAGAGACTTCCTTCGAGTTCTTACTTATGAGCTGAATTCTCCTTTGGGTCAGGCCTGAGTTTTCTTCTTGTCTTTCTTAAAATGGGATGTGTACTCTGGTCATAGTCTTCTGGCTATGAAATTAACTTTTTACATCTAAAGTTTTTCTAAAAAAATTTTACCACCTTTTTCATTGATGATCATTACAGAGCAGAGCTACAGTGAATATGATAAGTAAATGCTTAGGAAGTATTGCATAACTCCCCAAATGCTGCCCTGAGGGAAGACAATATTCATTCAGAAAAGACAACAAAACCAAACCAAACCACAGCCAGAGCTGACTCCAACTCACAATGACCCTACCGGATAAACCAGAACTGCCCCACAGGGTTTCCAAGGCTGTAATCTTTATGGAAGCAGTCTGCCTCATCTTTCTCCCACGGAGCGGCTGGTGGGTTAGAATCACTGACCTTTTCGTTAGCAGGCGAATGTTTTAACCACTGCACCACCAGAGCACCCCAGAAAAGACAAGCAGGGGCAAAATACTGAGGAAAGAACCTTTAATTGACAAAATTTCGGTATCCAAAAATGGCTTGTAAGTTAACTGTATCACCCACCAAAACAAAAACAGCAATAAACAAAAATGAATTAGCTAGCACGTAATGGTACTTATCATCTTCCAGTAAAGGAACCTGGGAAATACGGCTGAAAACAGTGAACGAATCTGCCACAGATGGGTGTCCAACAACAAAGGGAAGAAGAAAGAAAGGGGCTTAATCGTTTATTCAAGCACCAGAGAAAGCTGTCATGCTACTTTCTGTTCAATTTGTGTGAACTTAAAAAAATGCTATGATTAAGAAAGTGGCTAAGAATTTGAGTTTTCTTTGGCCTCGTGGCTTTAGCTACAACCTCGATCTATTTCTAGGGTGTGCTGTGTCAGATGCCACTGAGCCGGCTCTGACTCACAGCGACCCCGTGTACAACAGAGCAAAGCATGGTGCAGCGCTGCACTGTCCATTTACAGGGTGAAATCCACCGCCATCAAGTTGATTCCAAGTCACTGCGACCCACACTGGGTTTCCAAGGCTGCAAATCTCTACAAAAGCAGAGTGCCTCATTTTCCTCCTACGGAGCAGCTGGTGGGTTTGAACCACCAACCTTGTGGTTAGCATCCAAATCCCTTACCCACTATGCCATCAGAGTTCCTTTTTAGAGGGTAAAGATAATTTATGGAAGAGTTTTCTTTCAAAAACTCAGAAGCAACATGGTATTTATGGCAGATCATCACTTTAAATTAATTGACAATTATGTGAGTATTGACAGAGCAATCTCGAGAGCCACGGCTACCTGGTTTCTGCTCCTGCCCAGACTTGTTGTTCCCATTTCCTTCCCCACGACCACTAAATCATGTTTGTAAATCAAGAAAGTATTTGCAAAGTTAGATTTATAGAATGAGTTTTTTATTATCTGGGGATACTATATGCAACTATACAGTACTTCCTAAGCCTTTACTTATGGTAAAGAGCTCTAGTAGCACAATGTCTAAGACATCTGACCGTTAACCAGAAGGTTGGTGGTTCAAACCCACTAGTCGCTCCATGGAAGCAAGACTGGGCAACCTACTTCTGTAAAGATTTACTGTCTTGGAAACCCAGTGGGGATCGCTATGAGTTGGAATCGACTAGATGGTAGTGGGTTTGATGTTTTGGTTTTGGGGACAAGGTATAGTTAAAAAAAAAACATAGAGTGCAGTGTGAAGATTTTATTTTCTCCACTAATGACATTTGGAATTAAACCTATTGGTCCCTATAGGGTCACAAAAGAGTACCTTTTTACTTTAGAAAAAAAAAACCCAAAAACTACTGGAGCTGGACAGGGCTGCAAATGGATCCAAAGGTGAGACAGAGCCAGGAGTCCCTGGTGGGTCAGTTCCACCTGCCCAATGCTCCAGTTAGATTGATTCCCAAGGAACAAGACAGTGCTATATAAGCAGTCTGAGGTGAATAGATCCCTCCTGAGTCACTATAACTCTGTACGACTCCCATATGGGCATGTCTCTCAAGTGAACACACTTCTCGTTGGCCAGCCGAACAGCTGAATTCAATGCTTAACTTCTATTAACAGAGAAACCCTATGACAGTGACACAAACATGCGTTCAGGAACCCAGTAATGAGTTACTGGCCTTCTATGGTCCCTTCATCCACCAATTAAATGTAGTAATAAGCCTAATTTAGGTTTCATGGACATGCAACAAAGTTGGTTTCAAAGTCAGGGTTGAAGTCTGTGAGGCTTAGGGTCTGTTAGATTTAGGTAGGTTCCTTGTGAAAACGATCTTACCGGTCTGTCAACCTGCATGATCTCCCAGAGCACCTCAGCCACGTCGGGCAGGGTGTAGGGTGGGAGACAAAAACAGCAGGTGTGGAGCAGCTGGCTGACAAGCTGCTGTCCAAGCTGGCTCATCACCTGGCCAATCAGTTCCTTCCGCAACTCAAAGTCCTCCTCATGCTGTAAGAAAGCAAAGGCAACAGTTATGTTCTAGTCTCAACTTTCTAAAGACCAAGTAGTCTTCAGTAATTTCTCTTTCCTGGGACATGTATATTATACAACATCTGTATGGGTGTTATATAACAGCTGGATCTACAAAGTCCATTAAATATTTTGTCATTAGGAGGAAAATGTTTACAGAGTTACCATCAAGGAAACGGGAATGGGTTTCACCTGAGATTAATCTTAAGCCTTGAAGAGTTTTCACAAACAGAAGGCAGAAGACAAATTATAGTTAAGGATTAAAGGTAGCAATTTTCTTTTTTTCTGCAAAAAACAGCAAGTATATCTTTTCCTTTCTTAAAAACAGCTTTAAGATAAAATTCACATACAATCAATGGTTTCTAGTATATTCACAGACAGATGTATGCAACCATCACCAGTCAACTGTAGAACACACTCAACATCTTCAAAAGAAACCCCATAGCCTTCAGCATCACCCCAGCCCCTGCCTGCCCCGCAGCAACCACTCATCTACGTTTTGTCTCCACAGATTTGCCTATTCTGGACAGTTCATTTGAAAGGAATTGTGTAACATGTGGTCTTTTGTGACTGGTTTCTTTTACTTAGTATAACGTTTTCAAGACTGATTCAGGGTGCAGCAGGCTCCACTACTTCATTCTTGTCACGGCTGAGTAACCTCCTACTGTATTTATACACCACAGCATGCTCTCTTTCTCTCTTTTTTAAAAATTATTTTTGTTGTTAATGAGGCTATATGTAACAAAACATACCCCATTCCTTTTTCTTATTTTTAAAACCAAAAAGGTAAAAATTGCTTGAAGACTTCTATTAGATATCTAAGATTTTCTATCAAAAAGATCTTGATTCTTTTCTCCCTTCTTGTAGTCTTTGTAAACATGTGATCCAATGACCCATGACCTGCAAGTTGATTCTGACTCAGAGTGACCTTTTAGGACAGAGCAGAGCTGCCCGAAGGGTTTCCACCGCTGCAAATCTTTGCAGAAACAGACTACTTCATCTTTCTCCTACTAAGCATTTGGTGGGTTTGAACCACTGACCTTTAGTTAGCAGGTGAATGCCTTAACCAATTCACCACCAGAGCTCCTTTTGTACACACATAGCTTTATAATGTATTATCTTTTTTAAAATTGCCTTTCACTTCTAGTTACTTCCTTCTCTTTTTCTTTGCTGACAACTTCTTAAATAATTACTAGCTTCTTCACACACTTGCTTACTCCCTTACCTCTAATTCTACTCCTTCTCTGGCCAAAATCTACCTCTGAAAACGCTGTGAACCACTTTCTATTCCAGCCAAACAGATCTCTTCGTTTTCTACCAACATACTTGGTGCTATCCTTTCTCGATCATGGTTTATTCCTGTTAGAATATCTTCCCTCTCCAATCCATCCAATCTTATGGTCCCTAATTTAAGTCTGTCCTCTTCAAGAAAGTAATCCCAACCCATTTCTGACCACAGAGTTTTCCCTCCTCTGAAGCCACAGCAACCATGGCTTTTATTATCAGTTGCCTGACAATCAAATACAGCTTTACTGTTACTTAACTCTTTATACATTTCCATCTCATTAACCAGACACAAATGGCTTGGGCACAGGAATAGTTTTAGACTGCTCTGTACATCCTATAGCCCTTAACACGTCTCAGGTCTAATGGCTGATACTCGGGCTTAGTGAATGATCAACTACGCTGACCAATTCAGATCAAATGAAGGAGATAATGGTTTTCCCCTAAGCATCTTGGAAAAGATACGAGAAGATAATGAGCTGCAAATAAAAAGGTACAATGTTTTATACTTACATCATTGGCGACCCCTGTATGAATGAGATCTCTTAGGAACCTCATGACACTACAATTGGCATCCCGGTGGTCCAGGGTGGTAGAGGCAATAGCCCACTGTAGGATAGGGATGACCACCTGGCTCCTCAGCAAGGTGACAGGGCTACGCTGAATGAACCTGGTATGGAAAGAGAGGCGAGGATTAGGCAATAAAAGCAGCCAGGGCAAGGAAGGGACTATGGTTTAGATTATTGGCATATGAAAAAGCACTTCCCCAAACTCAATTTCCAACTAAAATTTTATAAAACAAGTCAAATCGTTTTCAGGAAGAGTAGCTTATACACAGAAAACTCTGCCAGGTTACGACAGCACTCTGTATTCCATGCAATCCCAGTTCCTGGGACGTCAACAGCAATTTCTCCCAGAAGGTCCATGGTTCAAGTAAGTTTGTGTACTGCTGGATTTAAAATGTCTGTGCTTGTTTGAGGAGCTCTGGTGGTGCAGTGGTTAAAGCATTTGGCTGCTAATCAAGAGATCGGCAGCAAACCCTCTAGCCACTCCATGGGAGAAAGATGCAGTTCAACTTATAGGGTTGCTATGAGTCAGAATCAACTTGCTGGCAGTGGGTTTTTTTTTTTTTTTTTTTGGTGCTTGTTTGGTTTTTCTTTTGAACTGTTCTAGTGGTTACCTTTTCAGGACTCTACACTGGGAAGACTTGCTAGAAATCCACTCTATAATTCTCTCTGATCAACTAAAAAATGTTTTTTCTCACTGTACAAAAACTAACACTGCCTTTAGTAGTCAACCTTGAGATGAATACTCAATAGTACTTTATATTTTTAAATGACATAATAGTTGTTTTTTAAATAATAAGTTTATTTATTTGTTTTTTAATTCTTTTAAGTTTCCTAACTCATCTGGTCACATTCCTTGGCTTGGGAATTCAGCAGAAGTCGGGCAGCAAGTGTCCACTGGGCAGCCAGCAATGGCCAAAGGTGGTAGCCTGTGGGTGAAGCCAGGAAATGTAATACCAGGAAAGTTCTAAGGCACCTTAAAATTCGGAAACGTTTTTACTCTGATACATGATTATATCTAAAGGATGCTGATCCTTTCAAGGAGAAAGTTGTGGTGAAGCATGAAACCACAGTAGCATAAAAAGTTAAAATGATAGGGGATTATAGACGTTACTTAGTCAAGTGTTTCTGCCAAGTACATTTTTATTGTCTTGTGCTTGCTCCCCTTTATGAAAGGAACTCAGCCAATTCTCCCCTTGATCCCACCCAGTTCTTCCTCACAGTAGGGATATATGGGGTCACAATTTCACTTTGGGTTGTGAACCATTAATCTACCCACTCCAATTACCATGTTGTACAGAGAAGGAAACAGCCTCGCATCAGAGGGTCCAACTGAGCAGTGACAGGGATGAGCAGAAGTGGGGCACTCACCTGGTGGCCAGCCTGAAGAGGTCGTCTACAGTGTCCGGGTGATTCTGCAGACCGTTCTGCTGTTCGAGGAGTTGGAAGGTGGGGATGCACAGTGCCTAACGGGACAGTGATGGAAAAGAAGAGGTTATAGATAAAAACCACAGCATTAAGACTTCCTAAATACCACATGGACATAGGTACACAGGTGGGAAAATAAAAGACTGTGATGAGAATAAGAGTAAGATCAGGAAAAGGGAAATTCTCAGTTAACATAAACCATTTTCACATTTCAAGGCCCCATTTCAAGAGTTGAGAGACCAGAATTTAGCTGGTGAAACTGAGATTTCATCTCAAAGTTTCAGAAGTTTCTACAAGCTGGACTGTACTTATATACTATGTATGAACTGGCTTACTAAGGGAGCAAAGAAGTTTTCATTATACTACTGAAGTATCAATTTTGAATTGAAAGTTATCTTGGGGAAAAGAACACCATAAGGAGGAACATCTGTGAAGATCATGACACAGGTGTAGGCGGTATTCCCGAGCATGCCTGTCCAGAGAGATACTAGGAAGTTTCTACTTCTCAAAAAAAAGGTCTTCATGTGATCCTCAGCCTACATGACCATGAGACCCGAAGAACTAGACTGTGCCCAGCTACCACTGTCAGCCACTCAGAGGGGGATCTGTGTAGGAGATCCTGGATAGAGAGAGGGAGAACAACGTGGAACAAAACAAATTCACGAGAGAAAAAAAAAAAAAGACCAGGTTTGCTGGTCTGACAGAGCCTGGTGGAACTGCTGAGTCTATGGCCCCTAGCTGCCCTTCAGGTCTGGAATTGAACTCACTCCTATGGCTTCCAGCCAAATAAAAAATAAGCATATGAGCCAAACATTTACATTAGGTAGAGACACTACTTGGAGAGATCAATCATGGGAAAACAGAAGGGCAGTGTATGGATATGGAGATGGCTTGGCAGGCATGGGAGGGAAGGACACACGAAAGAGTAACTATGGGAAGGAAGTGGGAAGAGAGCTGTTACACTGGGAAATTCCAGTCAATGTCATGAAACAAAATGTGTATGAACTGCTGGACGGAAAATGTACTTGCTCTGTAAACCCTTCACCCAAATCACAATAAAAAAAAAGGTCTTAACTGTTAGGAAATCAGCATGCCTGGGGGAACAAAGAGGCAACAGAACGAGGCACCTGGTGAAGAACACTCTGCTCGACCTTTAGGCCCTCCCAGCCCAGTGCATCTCACAAAAAAAAAAACCAAACTACTGCCATCAAGTTGGTCTCGACTCATAGCAACCCCTCCTAGGGTTTCCGAGGCGGTATTACTATGGAAGTAGATCACCCAACCTTCCTTCTGAGGAGTGGCTGCTGGGTTTGAACTGCCAGCTTTTGGTCAGCAGTCAAGTGCCCTAGGAACTACACCACCAGAGCTTCTAATGCATCTATACTCCCCTCCCCCCAAAGAAACACACCTGGAGCATGTCTAGAAGTCCCTGCCGGCAGCCCTCTTCCATGCCGTACTCATCCACAAGGATGCTGCCAAGGTACAGGAAGCAGGAGTGCTGATGCACGTGGTAAACATTCACCATCTGCCAAGGGAGCACACAGACAATTGGGTCCATTCTTTACCCCTCGGAAGTGATAACTTCAGAAACCATCTCAAGGAAGAAATGCAGACAGACTGGCCTCCTCTCTTTGAGGTAACACAGTAAATCTTATTGGCAAAATTTTGTGAAACAGAAGGCTCAAGTCCTCAATGATTTTTCAGTTCTTTATTTAGAGCTCTTACAAACCTATGACCTTTTATTTTCCCAGGAAATGCTGTAAGAGAGTTGTATAATACTTCAAATTGAAAACTCTGATCAAGGCTCACGTTAAGATTTACAAAACCCCAGGATAATAAGTTTTAATTTCCCAACACCTATAGGTGTTCTTATTTGCATTGCAAGTAAGTCATATTTTTAAAATAGCACACACAGCCACAGTGTGGACAAAATGATCAAAAACCTTCATCTAGGAGGAGGATGTGAAAGCCTGGTTTACCTTTTGAGAGTTGTTCCTAACCTCCCTATTTAACCTCTTTAAGTAAAAAGTGGTGTTTCCAACCAAGATGTCTGAATCTCAACAGCAAAAAAATTTAATACAACATAAACCAAACAAATCAAACTGCCTGCTTGCTGTCAAGTCGATTCCAACTCATAGCGACCTCTCCTTGGGTTTCCGAGGCAGTTATCTCTATGGAAGTAAATTGCCCAGTCCTCCTTCTGAGGAATGGCTGGTACAACATACGTATCTAAATCAAGTGATTTTAGGATTTTTATCCTACTATTCCCCAAAAGATGCTCTAGTGGTGTAGTAGTTAAAGTATTCAGACACTAACCAAAAGGTCAGTGGTTCTTACCCACCAGCCACTCCATGGGAGAAAGATGAGGCAGTCTGCTTCTGTACAGCTTTGGAAACACTATGGGGCAGTTCTACTCTGTCCTATAGGGTTGCTATGAGTTGGAATCAACTTGATGGTAGTGGGTTTGTTTTGTTGGGATCCTGTAAGAGTCCCTGAGTGGTGAAAAGGGTTAAGTGCTTGATTGTAACTATTAGGTCACAGTGTGAACCCACCCAGAGACACCTGGAAGACAGGCCTGACAATCAGGTTTGGGAAGGTCCCAGCCTTGCAAAGCCCAAGGAGCAGTTCTCCTCTGCACACGTGGGGTGGCCGTCAGAACTGACTCAACACCAACTAAGAGCAACACCCTCCTCCGAAAATGAAAAAACATCTCCATACTCATCTATTTAAAATGCCATCACCGTACACATGTATTGATATAACATCTGTTCTGGTTACCTAGTGCCGCTCTGACAAGAATATACCACAAATGGGATGGCCTAAACAAACAGGAGTTTATTCTCTTACAGACTGGGAGGCTAGAAGTCCAAGTTCAAAGTGCCAGGCTCTAGGGGTTGTGTGAAAGCCCCTCGACCTTGGGCTTCAGCTCTGCCTCTTGCTCCCAGCCCACTGAAGCTAGAGGCATCTCTTCACTCAGCCAGCTACTGGCTGCTGAGGCCAACAAGCCCAAAGTCGACAAACGAAATGGCACAGTCCCAATGTTATCAAACCACATGGCAGGCCATTAATTCAAGCCCATTGTAAGTCCCAGGATCAGCAGAGCATGGCAGGCTGCTGAACAATGACACAGGTATATGCACGGTCCAAGTGTGCCATATGCTGGAGACCATTCCCCAAGGCTTCTCCTTATATACAAGAAACAAAGCAAATCCCTAGGGCAGCTACTCAGCTGCTCACAGTAGATTCCACTATGGTGTTGATTATCAGTCTCATGATGGGGAATACTACATCCAGCTGCCCAGCTACTCAACCAGGGCCAGCCAAGTTGACACACAAACTTAACTACCACAACAAAAATTCCACTCTATGACCTTGGTGGGCCTGAAGGAAGGAGAAAAAGTGAGTACAATTTAAATACATTAACTGATTCTTCTATAAGAATATGCCACAGAATGTGCATGAGACAGGAGATACGAACCTGTTCAGTGTTGTAAATACATACACACAAATATATACTCTATTCCATGAATGACTTACGGCAGTGGTGGCAAACTTTTTCTTGAAGGGCCAGATAATAAAAACTTCAGGGTCTCTGACACTGAAGCTCAAAATTGACCAAAAGATGATCATTAATTGAATAAGCATGTGTGGTGGTTATGTTTGTTTGTCAACTTGGCTGGGCCTGGTTGAGTGGCTGGGCAGCTGGATGTAGTATTCCCCAAGATGAGACTGGTAATCGGCTCCATGGTAGACTCTACTGTTGAACAGCTCAGTAGCTGCCTTAGGGATATGGTCTGCTTCCTGTATGTAAGGAGAAGCCTTGGGGAATGGTCTCTAGCTTATGGCACGCTTGAATCCTGCATGTAGCTGTGTTGTTGTTCAGCAGCCTGCCATGCTCTGCTGACCTTGGGACTTTCAATGGACTCGAATTAATGGCCTGCTGTGTGGCTTGCTAACATTGGGACTGTGCCTTTTTACTTGTCAACCTTGGGCTTGTCAGCCTCAGCAGCCAGCAGCTGTCTGAGTGAAGAAAAGCCTGGAGGTTTCGTGGGCTGGGAGTAGGAGGCAGAGCTGAAGCCCAAGGTTGAGGGGTTTGCACACAGCCCCTAGAGCCTGGCACTTTGAACTTGGACTTAAAGCCTCCAAACTGTAAGAGAATAAACTCCTGTTTCTTCAAGCCATCCCATCTGTGGTATATTCTTGCTAGAGCAGCACTAAGTAACCAGAACAGCATGGTTATGTCCCAACACTATTTTATTCACAAAAGCAGGTGGCAGGCATTCATTTGCTGACCCAATTTAAGGGACTTTTTCCTTATCAGGAACAAGCAAGCCATGAGGGTGCCCTTCAAAAGCAAAGGCAGTAATGCACTGTGCTAACAGGGAACACCGACCAGAGGTGGCTGTACCTTAATTGCAAATGCATATTGTTGTACTCGAGATATGGTGAAAATCACTAACAATAAAAATCCTGTAAAAAGCTGACCTCTATTCCCTTTGTTCACACACACACACACACACACACACACACACACACAGTTTACGGAGGCGAGGCTGTGCCAGTGCACTGCACACAGCTGCCTGCCCGTGCAGCTCCTTTAGAGTGAGCCACCCTCCTTGCCTGGCCCAGGTGGAGGGTGGGTGTGGCGCTCAACTGGGCCCTGGAGTCGTTTCCCTCCCAGCATGGGCGCACACTCTAAGGACTGGTGCTTGCATAACCTCACCTCCCTGAAGCTTGTGCCCTGGGCGCCTCACTCACCTCACCCTCATGCTGGCCCTGCTGTAAGGTTAACATCAACACAAACTATAAAGTGACGTGAGTATAGGCACCTCACACGGAGCAGTTCTGGGTGGGAATGTGCTTCTGCAGAACCTTTTACAGTGGTCATTCCACCATGATTTTATACCAATCTTTGAGATTCGAAGACTCAAATTTATTTTTTGACAAATAAGAGACTTAGGTAAACAACTAACTGTGACCAAAATAGAGAAAAAGGAAACTTATTTTGTAGTTTGTATTTAATATGTGTAAATACAAGTTTGTTTCACTTCATTAGCAGAGCTTTTGGCCAAAAGGCTTTTAAAATGTTAAGTTCTGTTCATTCACCATCTTCCCTTACCTGTGTTACCAGTGGCTGGAGCAAGGCTGCAGATCCTTTGCCTACACAGCGAACAGCAAAGCGGAGGCACCTACAACAACGCTCTACAATCCGATTATCAGCCCGGTGCTTATTTAGCGTCTCAGATAAAACTGGCCATATCTGAGTCAGAGTGAAAGAACACAAGAAAGAAATTAATGAACAACTAAGGGCTGAAAGAATGCTCCCATGATGGTAACATCTGATTCAGCTCTTAGGTGATCTGAATAAAGTTTTCTTTATAGGAATGCATATGGCCTGATTTTGGTTGGGGTATGTGTGTGATGCGAGTACATTGCACCAATCATTAAAACACCCCAGTTCTTTGTTTTTTTACTTTTATTGTGGTGAAAACATACAGAAGACATTCACCATGAAACACCTCAGTTTTTAACAGAAACACCGAAGTGAATCTAGAACAGGAAGAAGAGCATGTCTTAACTTTACCACCTGACAAGTATACACATTTTCTGAACTTTGGATTTCCTGAGTTAGGATGAAAAGAATTAGTATGCAATAGAGGAGGAGATGTTTTAATGTCAGTTCCAGGAAGTTGGAAGACTCTGGACAAACGGACTAGAGTAAAGGAAAGGGCATATTCGATACCACTGAACACATAAGAATATTTGGTATTTATATAATTTTCTCCCCTGAAGTCTGAAAAGCACATCTCAAAACGTGCCTCTTGATTCTTATACTTCCTTTGGTGGAAAAAAGTATCAACGGGGAAAATGAAGCCACAGAGGGTTAACTGGCTTTGTCAAAAATATGTTGCTAGTTGATCAGGCCTCCTCTCAATTCTTCCGTTACATGGGTCTGTTTCTACCTTTCCTTTGGCTTTTCAGCCTATTGTCTTATCAAATCTAAAATAACCAGTATCTATCTGGATGTTCCTTTTCCTCATTTCATTGATATTCCAACCATCTCAACAAACTGAACCTCCCCCATGGACTTGAAACCTTCCCACTTTAGTGACCTACAGCTTTGTAAGTAAAAAGGAGGAGAGCCTGACTCTGCAGGCATCCAGTAACACTTACTTCCTGTATGACTTTTTGGCACGGATGAGTCTGTCCATTTTCCACAATGGGATTGGTGTGTCTGGAAAGATAAGAGCCCAAAGTGGTGAAAGAAGAGGAATTTCATCAAGGATACAGACCCAATCTCTGTTCTTCACTTAGTACCATTCTCACGAAATAAAGAGAACCACACAGTCAAGTCATTCTTAAGACTCAACCCCTTTTCTTCCTACTCCACTCAAACATAAGCACATGCTTTAAATCATCGTATCATTTTTTCTACCTTCAAGTTACTCCCACTAGAACACACAAACCCAATCTAAGACAGACATATGAACTGTGGGGCACAACTACCCTTTTCCTTTTTCTCCTTTTATAAACCCACATACAATCTATGTATCAGAGGTATGCACAGAGTCTGAACTGACTATCAGAAATCATTTCTACCATCAAGAGAATAAAAGCTTTAGAAACTTTAGTCTACCAAAGATACTTTTCATGATAATATGGGCCCACCCACAATATGTCAAGTCCAATTTCTGTTTAGTTCTAGAGGCCGCTAATTTAAAGAAAAGCAGAAAAGTTTTTTTACATGACTTAGTACCATCCTCTTTAAAGGAAAGCCTCATCACAATGTAAAAATAACAAATAATTTTCTTTAATTCAGGGATTTCCATCTATTACAGATTTCTGTTCATTAATTGTGAAATAGGAGTTATTATTAGTAGGTTCTCAGAATGGCACATAACAGGGCTTTCCTAACTATATAAGGAAAGCATCTCACCAACTAAGAGAAAGGTACTTGTTGACAATAACTAATAAGCAGAAACACTACTTGTTTTGACTCATCCCACATAAACTTCTATGCAACTCTTACTCTGCTATTGCAGTTACACCTAAGGGTCTCACATGTGAGAAGTTATTTTAATTCAGTAAGGATCATCTTTTGAACACTGTCATTCAAATGCCTTTTTAATCATTCGGTGCTGCTTGACTTCAGAGGGTTAATTTATTATTATTATTATTTTGTACCCATACACAGTACAGCACTGGCTCCCAAGTATGGTTCCATACAGCAGCATGTGGCAGAAATACAAAGTCTTTGATCCTACCCAAGATCCAGTGAATCAGAAACCCTAAGTGCTCCAGGTGGTTCTGATGCATGTTAAAATGTTTGAGAACCAATGAACTAGAGACCAAAAAATACCAATTACATTTTTAAAAGCTCTTTTGGCAAAAGCCTATCAATAACAAATTGTTAAAATTTGTCTTTGCCCCCCCGAACTTCTGGTAACAGGCTCAATTAGTCTCCTAACAAGGGCGATTACAGAAGGTACTTGCAATTTTGAGGGGAAAGCAAAAATCTTGCTTACTTCAATACATAATGGTTTCATTTGAGCTTGTAACCCAATGCACTCAGAGTCTCCCTTCTTACCTAAATATCACTGCAAGACGATCTAAGAACACGGTGGGATCTGAGGATATGCCATTGCTGGGCTCCTGAGACAACAGCTGAAGAGAGAGACATCAATACCCAGTCGTCCCACGTACAGCAAACACTATAACATACACCCTTATCATCAACCTGGTCTCAAGTTTGCTTTATTGCCTTATAATAGATTCCTGAAAGCCCCTATTCACCTTGTCCAATTACTTTCCTCCATCTTACTGCTTCCCGGCCAAGACCACAAATCAACTACAGTTTATTATCTGACCACTGGGTAGTGGAAGACAGTAACATTTAATTTTTCTATTTCTTTTTATTATGATTAAGATTGATTTTTTTTTTTTTCATGTTTAATAGTCATTTGTGTTCCCTCTTCTGTAAACTCTTGTTCACTCATACCCAGTTACATCCATTTTTCCATTGTGGTCTTCAATATGTTTCTTAGCAATTTATATGTACTCTTTAAATATTATGAGAATAATATCCCTGTCCTGTATGTTGCAAATATTTCCTAATTTGAGGTTTGCTTTTTTTATTTACAACTTACACCATCAATCTTTCATTGTTTTTCTATTGGTTTCTTCCACTGCTTTTATGTTAGAAAGTTGCTATGCATCCAAGCTATAGTGTGAGGCAACCGTCTAAGCCTAGCTTTTCCCCACAAATTTTCAGGTTTCCTATGTATTTATTGAAATGGTAATTCCTTCCTCATTGGTCTGTGACACCTTGTCATTTATTTAAAATCACACATACATATACATCTATATACTATACATTATTCCTATACATGAACCTATTTACAGACTCCTTAACTGTGAAACCAATGCTGTTCATTTTTCATACCAGAATCATACTGTAAAATCATTACAGCTTTAAAACACACTTGAAGAGAAGAAAGGACAAGCTGCTGCTCATTCTTGTTTTACTAAAACAGCTCAGATGCTTTTATCAGTATACACAAGAGATGAACTTCACAATCATATACTAAATTCTCCTAAAAATCCCATTTGTTATGTCTATTATATTGTACTCCAAGTGTAATTTGAGACACATTGGCATCTTTACAATATTTATCAAGGAAACATGGTAGGTTGTGGTTGCTAATAGGAATGGGATCTTTTTCCATTTTACAGCTGGCTATTACTGACACAGTGATTTTGAAGGCAGCTAGTTGGATGGACTTGTCAATTTTAATAACTTTTTAGTTCATTCACTTGGCTTTTCTAGGTAGATAAACAAACATCTGTAAATAAATTCTGTCTTTCCTTTCAAACATGTAAATATCTGACATTGCTTCACATCCTACTTAACTGGACTCACCTTCTTCAATGCCATCACCTGAACAGAACACAGTTCACTAAGACATTCAGTAATCTTATCCAAAGGTAATCTGTCTAGGACAAGCGCTGTCCCTGAAAAACAAAGGAAGAGATAGATGGAGAAAATAAAAGCTGAATTAAGGTAACACATTAGTCTATACCATATGTTTAACAGATTAACCAAATGAGTCTATTCTTTTTATTCCCTCTTTTTTTTAAATTGTGATTTGGGTGAAAATTTACAGAGCAAATTCACTTTCCATACAGCGGTTCACATACACTTTGTCCCATGACATTGATTACAATTTACCCCAATGCAACAGCTCCCCTCCCACTTCCTCCCGATAGTTACCTCTTCCCTGCGTCCATGCCTCCATGCACTCCTGTCCCCTGAGCTGTCTCCCTGTGCATAAGGAGCCCTTCTTTCTCCCATGATTGTTCTCTCCAAGGAGTGGATCTACCTCAGGTAAATGCTTAACTCATATGCCTGTCTTTTGTTTGGCTAGAAGCCACAGGTGTGGGTTCAATTCCAGACCTGAAGGGCAGCTAGGGACCATAGTCTCAATGGTTCCATCAAGCTCCACCAGACTAGCAAACCTGGTCCCCTCCACCCCTTTTTCTTTTTCCCAAGTGATTTTGAGTTTTTTCTACATTGTTCTCCGTCTCTATCCAGGATCTCCTACAAAGATGCCCCTCCGAGTGGTTGACAGTGGTAGCTGAGCACCATCTAGTTCTTCTGGTCTCATAGTCGTATAGGCTCCAGATTGCATGGTGTACCAGTCAGTTACTAGGACTAATTCTTTCCACGAAATCTTTGGTTTTCTTCATTCTTCTTTGCTCTGGACAAGGAGAGACCCATTGCTGCATCTAGGTGGCTGCTTGCAAGCTTTTAAGATCCCAGTCGCTACTCACCAAAGTAGGAGGTGGAACAATGTTTTGTGTAGTTTGTTATGCCAATTGAGCTTGATGTCCCCTGCGACTATGGTCCCGAGTCCACAGGTTCAACTACTCGGTCCCTCTGGGTAGCTGGCTGTGACCAAGAAGTGAGTATAACCTTGTCCCTTGTCAGCTGCTCTACTATACACCTGGGAATTCTTACAGATCATACAAATACACTTATAGGATCATTGTCTGCCAAACCTACACATGGTCTTGGGTACACGCCTCGCTACACAAACGTACCTAGTAATTCAGTCTGTCTACCCATCCACCCGTATACCCATGTTTGCCTTCACTGACAATGCAGTACTGTGTGTGCAAAAGGGTTCATCTTTGTTGTCTGCACCTCCCATGTAATCTCTCTATGTCTTCCTCTTCCTCAATACCACCATGTTGATGGGTCCATTCTTTTAAGATGAACATTGTTTTAAAAATTACAGTATTTTGTTACTTACATGGTTGTTTTTGTATTTAGCTCAGGACACTATAGACTGACTTTCACATTGACATTTACAACTGAAGTTAATATTACAGTGTTTCTCCTCAGTATCCCATTGGTGTAAAGACACTTAAAATAAGTCTCCCAAATCTTCAAAATTACTTTAAGAACACTGCACAAAACCAGTGCCAAAAATATTTACATAGCATTGTGCAATGCTTTCCAAGCTTCCCAGAGGTTCTTACTTAGGTCAAGATGGCCTTTAATTTTGACATGTACCTTAGGCAACTCTTGTCCTCCAGGTTTGAAAATACTGACAGTTTTTAGAAAGGATAGGCTGACATTGAAGAGATTTAATTCTAGCTGTAGTACAATGAGAGAAACCCTGGTGGTGACAGTGGCTAAATGCTCAGCTGCTAACAGAGAAGGTCAGCAGTTAAAGCCCACCAGCTGCTCTGCGGGAGAAATATGTGGCACTCTGCTGCCATGAAGATTGACAGCCCTGGAAACCCTACAAGGCAATTCAACTGTGTTCTAGAGGGCTGCTAAGTCATAACTGACTTGATGGCAATGAAGGTTTTTTTTCTGGTACTGCCACACACTGTGAGCTCAAGTAAATAAAGCATTTTCTCTGGGCCTTAGTTTATCTGTAAAACGAGTGGTTTAAACAAAAGAGAAGTAGTCAAGTTTGCTTCTCTTGATTTTTGAAATAGTTGCAAAAAAATCTTCCCTCTCTTCTCCCTCTCCCAAACGATAATTTACTTGTGTGCCCATAAATTAAATAAAAACGAGGCTAACATGGGGCTGGAAGGCCTAGATCCCATGCACTCAGCTTCTCTGTTGTTACTGTCTCCTTTCCAGGTCCAGCAACTGCTGAAGCATCTCTTCAAAATCCAAAGGATTACACATTAGCCTCAGGTCCCTTCCAGGTAAAAACCCCTTGACAATGACATTTCTCCATCTCCTAAAGTTTTATTCAGTGGAACAGTAATTAATCCTTAAGTCTTCAATTTGAATAAAAAACAAAATTATTTTTCCTGGCTGTCCATAAGTCATGGATAAGTTAGATTCTTATTAAAACTGAGGCGGAGATCCTTCTTTCATTATCATTTTTCCTTTAAATTCATTCCTCTAGGGAAAAAAATACTTTTTGACACCTAGAAGATACCACTGATAACATGTGCATCAGACGGTAGTGCAGGCTGCCACATACTACTACTACTACAGGCTAGATGCCACTTCAATATTAAGGTTAAATTTCACTAGAAAATAACACGACAGCAGCAATGACTACGAGTGTTAGAGAGTTAACTAGTAAGAGTCTCTGACTCCAATGTAATGCCTTATTATCTATGCTTATGGAGGAAACAAAAAGAACTCATGCTATGAAAGACAACCTGCTGCCGGAAAACGCATCATCACACTGGCTGGTAAGGAACGTAGTCATAAAATGAGAAAGCACAGAATTAGCTGACACACAGGTGACACTCAATCTTGCCAAGGCTAACTCTGTCACTCACAGATGCTTAAAAGAGACTATACTGGTCATATTACACAACGCTTTATGTGATGCACCCAAATCCCTTTAAATTACCAGCTACAAGGATTTCACTACCTCACAGGACACTCCAATCTGTTTTTGGAAAGTTTGGTTAGAAAATATTTTCTTTCACCAAGCCTGTATATGCTCCCCTATTAACTGCCAACAACTGATTACTCACATGTAATAAATCTGATCCTTCTTTTATAAGATAATCCTTTAAATATTTAATAATAGCCATCATGTTTAAGGTCTGTTTGAAGTCTTTTTTCCTAGCCTGGACATCTCTGATTCTTCTATTACTCTGAGTCTCAACAAACTCTAGTCAGCTGTCTCTGGACAGGCAATCCAACAAGCGGAAGCTGATCAACAATGGTTAAAGGCTACTGAGACCAGCACCCTGGGCTGGCTTCTACTACGGTACTGAGCCAGGCACCTTAAAAATCTCCACTTACTGCTTTGGTACGGTAATGTTTATTTGGTTTCCCTTTTTACGTTTCTTCTAACTTAGAGTGGGAACTATGTTTAATTCAAATGTACTGTCTTCACATAAAATCTAGGTCAGGGCTAAACATACTGCAAGATTCATGAATTTATTATATAGCCTTAAAATATCCTAAGGAAAGACTGCACATACAGAGTCTACACCGTCCTCTGAGTGGAAACACCACTTTCACCAGCACTAAGTACCCTACAGCTGAAAATCCAGGCTATAACCAAGCAAAGTTAACCCTAAGCAATGGCACAGAGGAACCACAACTGGTTAACACTGTACGTCAGTACCTTTCAGCAAGCCCACCGCAGCTTCCGGAGACAACATGAAGGAATCAAGGGAGCGGGCGATCTCCAGGAGCCCACTGAAGTGCTGAGCCATGTGATCTCGGCAGACGGAGCAGATGTTATGGATGGCTTTGGCTGCAGCAGAAGCCAGGGGCTTTTCACACAGGCCTTTCATCAAGTAGCCCAACACGGGGTCTGAGGGCAAAAGCCACACAGTTACATGTCTGAAACTCAAGGAAAACGTCAGTGTGTTAGAGCAGAGGTTTATATACCTTGTTAGGATGATGATTTTTAAATGAAATGCGACTCAGAATCCCAAGATACAAAGCATAAAAACGGAGCCCTTTTCACTGGCACAGCATCAGGAGGCCCTGAGCCATCTATTCATCTTTGTGGCAGCTGACTGCCCCCTGCAGCCCTAAGGCTTGGCTTCACAGAGCAGTTAGAAAACCCTGACTTTCGAGCACATATGAACACTCTAGGCATTTAGAACAGGGTACTGTACAAAAGAGGCCAAAGCTCGGAGACCTATCATTATTCCCAGAGATGAATTACTTGGTTAAAATAACCTACATTAATTAGGACAATGACAGTTGTCTAGAGCTGGCACTTTTGTACTTGCTTCTTTATAGATTAAAAAAGGTCTCGAAATATACAGATTAATCTTTAGTACTTCTAGATGAATTCATTATGTTTTACTTTTACTAATAATCAAGTTCCAAGAAAGTTAATTACAAAGGAAAATTTCAAAAGAGCAAATTATACTCATCCTTCACCTTTGTAAAAATCAGAATGTTTTTCTATGGAAAAAACCCCAAGAAAAGCCATATATGATTAAAGAGCATGATATTAGTTCTTTAGAGTGACCTATTTATAGCAAACCATGAAAGAACTAAGGAATCAAAGGATCAGAATTTTAAACCCCACTCAAAACAGTTATCTCCATTTCTAGAACAAAGACCAAATATTCACTAGCTACCCACCCCCCAAGCTGCTTAACCTAGAAATCAGAAGACCTTGAATTATCTAGGACCTAGTCCAAACAACTCTAATAATGAAGACTTTTGTAACCGTCAGACTGATTATTTGTGGTTTAACTATTCTGGTGGCAAAGTCCAAGAAATGTAGCAATTTGCTTTCCTGCTGAGGCACAAATCTGAAATGAGAAACTGTAGGGTGGTTACATCATACTGAATGATATATTTCAAACTAGCTCTGCTGCTTACTAAGTATGATCTGAAAATATTAAATAAAACCAACAAACAACATTTTGTTTCTTTGTGAAAATGGTTCAGAAAAGCAAGCCCAATGTTGAGGGAGCTAATGAAAGTGAAGAGATCAAAGGATCTGAAAATGGGCATTTTGACTAAGTTGTACACTGGTCTGTGGCACGGAGGGATGGCTCAGCTATGACCAAAGCGTGTCGCTCATGAGCTCTGTGTACAGAAACAAGAGAGTATACTTTTCAGCAAAGGTTCAGTCACTAAAAAAAGAGACAAAATCATGTTGAAATGGGGGTGATAAACTTATTTGCAGGAAACCCATCAAACTAGTGATAAAACACTTCACAAACATGAGTATCAATTAAATTCTCAGAACATGATCACTCTGAAATGTCGGGGGCTTGGTATATATTATCCTGGATAAAACAGTCTCTTTAGATCTCAATATACTCACTTGCAAAACAAAGGGTATAGAATAAATGATTTCTAATTTTAGTTTTAATTCTAAAATTGTTATTTTATGTGATCTTCATTATTTTCTTAAGGTAGTAACATTTTAATTTGGAATGATAATTTGTAAGTTTTTAAATGGAAAATGTATTTAACATCGAACAACTCTCTCCTTTGCTTTAATTTTCTAGTGGCTTCTAGGGAGGTCTGATTAGCTCAAGCACATGCCCAAAACCACGACAACACGGAATGCGTGTGCTGATGCAGAGTTCTCGAAGCAAGCTGTGTGCCCGTCTGGAGATCTAATCTTTCAAAGGTCCTTCCTCTATGTGTGATCATATTATAAATGTTGTTTCAACTAAGCAACTTCAAACTAAGATAACTTGAAACATTTAGTCTCAGTGTCCACAACACTGCTTGTCAGTGAACGAGACGAGACGGCAAGGGACGACGAGAAAAAGCCGAAGAGTAGACAGGAAACGGAGAGGAAGAGAAGCCGAAGGAGCAGAGTTCACACATACCCAGAAACTGAGGATTTCGATCAACCACTTCGCTCATCTCTCCCACCAACTCAATGCTGGTGTATCGCACAGCGGTGTGTACAGTCTCTGGCAGACGAACCACTCCTTCTAGGACCTCCACAAGTGTGGGGTTGTTCTCCCTGAATACAGAAGGCAAGTCCTCAGTTACTGATTTCAGAGGTTATGTTCTGGCTGAAAAAACATGCTGTAGTGACGGATGTCGTTGCTAAAGGCCTTTTTTCTAAATTAACAGTCATTTGGGTAAATATATAAAAGTGTTTGTCATTGGGCATGAGAGGTTTCTGAATCCTCAGAAAGGAGAAAGAAATGGAAACTCTGTCTTTTAGGAGAAGCAGACTGTTCCTTCATCTTCTGAAGGACAGTAAAATGTCTAACACAACATGCTAGTCAATAGAGGCACTTCACACTGGAAAGAGAGGCATTTACTGTGGATGAATTTTTTTTTTTTTTAAAGGATTGGTTTTATTTATTCCTATATCTGCAGCACCTAGGACAGTGCCTGGCACATAGTGGGCACTCGTTAGCTAAATAGCTAAATGAATGAATAATTTCCATAGACCATTTTCTACTAGCTGTTATTCTCCAAAACATCTCGTATAGCTGGACACTGGGACCTGTAAGGGCAGAGAAGTATGGATGGCTAGCTAAATTTCTTTACTAACTCAAGGAGCAAGAAAACAAGCAGGAATAAGTAAAGGTGTTCCAATTAGGAACGTGAGGGAAAATGAAAGTTAACCACTTCCCACAGCTCCATAATTTATTTTTTCCTTTCCCTTTTCCTCTCTCTAAATATACTGAAGGAAGGTCTTCTGAGCAGAGTGGAGGATGTCCCCAGAGTGGCAGAACTTGATCAAGAAATGAAAAACTTTCAAATGTAATAATATCCTAGATTAGAGCAAGAGCACCCCCTGTTGATAAAGTAAGTGTTTTAAGTCCTTTATATGAACTGAAAATTCTAATCATGCAGTTGGCTTGAAATGTGGATTAATAAAAAACTACATATATATACAGAATCTCTCACTCATACCTCATGTTTCTTAGAGCACTAATCTAATTATTGGAACTATCTATCCATCCCTCTTTAAATCACACACAACTGTTAGAATATCAATGATTTTAATCATCTTCAAAGTGTCACTGAAGGTTCCGAAAGACACTAAAATGGGTGTAAGAGCAAATAGCATAGTATGTAATTAAGGACTAGAACTTCTCAATAAAGAAAAGCAAATCTACTAAATCTCCTTTAATATTTACTGAATTAGGAATAGTGTAAGACTTTATTGAGAAGGCCCTGAAAAGCTGCTAAGAAAGAAGCAATGTACTTTTTACAAACACCTGCCTGAACCATCTCTCCAACAGGGGCTCAGGTGTAGGTACCTGATCACAATACAAGGTAACTTGTCAGATATTAATTATCAATTTATAAATTCATAGAACAAAACAAATTCTGTCTTTCGTGATTCATGTTAAGATCATGAATAGCATTTCTGTGCTAACAATTAGAAATCTAGGTCTAATAATCTAAAAAATTCCCAACACCAATAATGGAAACAGCAATTGCCCTTTAGATTTTGCCATCTTTTAGGGGAAATAGTGCCCGTGTCTTGCCTCTCTGAAAACTCACAAATGATCCTCTAAGATGGAAATACGGAGAAAAAGTAATTAAATGTCTGAAAGGATAACTTACCCGAGGTTACAAACGCCGGTGAGACCAAACTAGTTCCTATTTGATACCAAGAATTTAAGACTCTACCAATTTCTTAATCAAACCAAACATTCACACAAGACCCTTGGATGGAAAAACAAATCAGCATTCTGTTCCTAGCATCAAGGGTAAAATAATTTTAACTCTAAGAAATGTGGTTAAAACATTGCTTTTAGCAATATAGGCTGTCCTAGACTAGACTCTTGAAGTAAGCAGATTGGACAGCCCTACAGAAGTAAGAAGGTCTAAGGGTTTCCAAGCATATACCATATAAGGACAAAACGGTGTGATTTTCCTTCCTGTCAGTATTTAGAGTTTCCAGCAAAAGACTTATTAGACACTCACGGATCAACACTCTTTGCTATAGCAGCCATGATAAAGAGAACCGCTTCTGTCACCTCCCAGGGTGGGTTGCCTTCTTTCAGAGTAGAATATAACTAGAGAAGAAGAGGTGGATTATGGATCCATTAAAAGGAAAATAGAGCAGAAGTCCAAAAACAAACAAAACAAAAATCCTGTTAGTTAAAATAAATCCAGTCCCTTGTTTCTAAATCAAACTAATTATCTGTCAAAGCCAAGGGGCAATATTATTTTCATTCTTTACATCCTCAATAACTAGAAGCAACAACTAATTTAATATTTGAAATAAACACATTTAGCTCTCCAAGAGTATATCAAAGTTATCATCTGCTTCTAGAAAATGATTATTATGGAAAAACAAAACGTATCACATGAGTGTCTTTTCCTGGCCCTGATAATCACTAATGAATAAACACATTTAACAGTGATATACAATGTAAACCCTCCACGTGTGTATTGGCTTTGCATTGTTTTGTTTTAACTCTATGTCCACATCAGCACTGGCAGTAGAGCTTAAATTCCTAAACAGCAGCTGTTTAGAAGCACCTATCACAATACTATATCCAAGCAGAATTAACAAAAATAAAAGTAGACCTAGCAGAATACTCAGAGACTAGTCAAGAATTTCCTGAAGTGTATCTGTTCTAAGGAATGTAATATGGTATTGGTCTATTCATGGGTACAGCTAGGTAAAACAAAATGGAACAATTTTCTTAGAGGACTTTATACTATTTAAATATGCTATTTAAATAATTTCCCAATTTTTTTTGCTAAAACTTTTTTTTTTTTTTTTGCCAAAGAGCATCTCATGAGGCTGGCACTCCACAGAACACATCTTGGACAACATGACAGTTTGTATGAATTTGTAAACTGAAGTCTGGAGAAGATCAAGTGACTTGCTCAAAGCCACAGAGCCAGTGACAGCAGAGCTGATCAACCGCCTTGTGGCCCAAGGATCTCACTGGATCTGCTCCTAAGAACCCCCAACCCTCTGTGGGGAGGTCAACAAACACACTTTGCTTAATAGAATAAAAAATATGATAATTTTCTTAACATTTTCTAGATCAGCTTATTCCCAAATGTACACAAAATGGCTGGGTTACAAAAAGAAAACTGGATTAATTTAGTCTTGCTGTGACAAAGCATCCAAACTAGATTCCAGAGCCCATCAGAACACAATCTAGTAACATGAACACCAGCTAAAATTAGGCTAATGTCAAATGACGTGGAATGGTGATGGTGGCAGCCACAGTGTCTTACCAGGTAAAATGTTACTCACTGATTGTCAGGGAAAGCACAGCACTATGATCTTCTACTCTAGCATAGTCACCTCGGGGATGAAACTGCACAGGAATCTAACCGTAAGTGTGGACAAAGGAAATGCCAAATAACTAAGAGAACTGCCAGGAATTGGTACATATTATTAAAGCAGGAAAAGTAGCCCATTTCTCCTGTCCTAGTCCAAATTCCCTGAAGTATCCTGGGAGCTTCAGTGCTTATCTATGCATCTTCCACGCGAGTTCCAAAAGTCAAACGGCTCTCTTTAGGGAGAGTAATGGAGTGACCCATAACTGAACCGTCTACAGACTGCAATTGGCGTGTAAGATATTAAATAAACAGAGCTACTATATGCCAGGCAGTGTGCTAGGCACCTGCTTACCTATGATCCCACTTAGCCACAGAGATTGAAGAACTCAGGTGGGACATTTACAAAGACATAAAAGTAAGCACAATCAGGGTGATCAGTGGACCAGCAATATCTCCAAATGGGCTTACCTGAGCAAAACACTCCATAGACCCAATCAGGAAAATCAAGTCCTTCACTAGGTCTGATACCCGCATCCGGAATTCTCCAAAGTCATCACTCTCCTCAGGAACACCCTCCTGAAATTGCAAACCAAATGGCATTTGTTTTAAACTCACTGAGGCTTTCACTGGCCTCTACAAAATCAAGAACAAACAAGAAAACGCCATCAAGCAGTCAAATCCCAATGAGCAAAAGATAAGTTGCCTAAGTCATAAAGACAGTTTACTACAGACCGAGGGTTTCCCAAATTGTTAGGTCTGGCAAGTCAACACCACCTATCCTCTACCTCCACAATGAAAAACACTAGGTTTTGTTAAGAGTTATAAGCCTATCTAGATAAGGTTCAGCTGGCTAGTCCTAACATAGCCTTTGAAGCTTATAGTTCAAGACCTACCAAAATCAATCCTTAACAGTAACCTCTAACAGAACAAAATTCTAGACTTTAAAAAGAATTTCACATAGCTAGACAGATATATAATAAAACTAGTATAAAACCAAACTCACTGCCATCGAGTCAATTCTGACTCACAGCGACCCTCATTGGGTTTCCAAGGTAGTAAATCTTTACTGAAGGAGATTGCCCAGTCTTCCTTCTTCAGGGTGGCTGGCAGTTTGAACTACCAACCTTTTGATTAGCAGTCAAATGCCTTAGGCACCAAAACAAACAAACAAACTACAAACAACCAAACTCTCTGCTGTTGAGTCAGGTGCAACTCACAGCGACCCCTCCTTGGGTTTCTGAGGCGGTATCACTATGGAAGTAGACTGCCCAACCTTCCTTCCGAGTGGCTGGTAGGTTTGAACTGCCAGCCTTCTGGTTAGCAGTCAAATGCCTTAGGCACTATGCTACCAGAGCTCCTACTACTCCACCAGACTTCAAAAAAAACTAGTATAGTAAAATATGAGTAACGGAATTAGGTGGTGGGTATACAGGTGTTCACTATGAAATTATTTCACTTTCGCTTGTTTATGTTTGAAATGTTTTGCTAAAAATTTTCAGATCATCTAAATTGAATGGAACATAAATTTTTTTCTAGTCCACATACACTGTTATTAGTGAACAAAAGTTTATCACTTGTGATATGGTCGAGGGCATGTATAAAACTTTAGACCATGAGTAACTAGAAAAAGCCCTTACTACTGTGAGAACTGCTTATCTGATTCAACCTTGTGGTAGGTAAGGTTGTGTGTCAACTTGGCTGGGCCCTGATTTTGAGTGGCTGGGTAGCTGTGATGAGATTAAATGTGGATTCCTCCATGATGGAATCTACCACGAGCAGCCAATCAGTGGAAGGGGAGGTGCCTTCAGGGAGAGGCCCTGCTTCCAGTATACAGGGAAAGGATCCTGCATTTGGTCCATTACCATGTCCAGTTCCTGGACTTGAACCAGTGGCCTGCCATGATACCTGCCAATCTTGGGACTGTTGCCTTTGTAGCCTATGAGTCAACAATCTGCTATACTGCCAACTTTGAGTTCTATCAGCCCCTGCAACAGCTGCAAAAGTCAGGAGAGGCCTCCGATTTACTCCAGTGAGCCTGGAAGGCAGAGCTGAACTCCAAGGTCAAGGAGGCTCCATCCAGCCCTGAGAGCTAGCACTCTGAACTCTGACTTCTAGCTTAGTCTTCCCTTAAAGCTGCAAAAGTCAGGAGAGGCCTCCGATTTACTCCAGTGAGCCTGGAAGGCAGAGCTGAACTCCAAGGTCAAGGAGCCTCCATCCAGCCCTGAGAGCTAGCACTCTGAACTCTGACTTCTAGCTTAGTCTTCCCTTAAAGCTGGCACTCTAAACTTGGACTTGTAGCCTAATTGGCCCCTATAGCCAGCACTCTGAATTCAGACTTCTAACCTCCTAAACTGTAAGAGAATCAACTGTTTATGAAAGCCATCCACTTGTAGTTTTTCTGTTGTAGCAGCACTAGAGAACTAAGACAAAACTCACTGCTTTAAGATGAAGAAATTAAGGTTGAGGAAGGACTAGGAACTAAATGATGGCTGTCTTAGATGAGATAACAGATAAAATCAAAGCACTGTACAAATTATGAAGCACTATACACTTGGCAAAGGAGCTGTGGTGGTGTAGTAGTTAAGGCATTTGGATGCTAACTAAAAAGTCAATGGTTCATACCCACTGCCACTCTGTGGAAAGATGGGGGGATCTGCTTCCATGAAGATTTACAGCATTGGAAATCCAATGGGGGTCACTGTAAGTCAGAATTGACTCGATGGCAGTAAGCTTTTTTTTTTTTTTTAAAATACACTTGGCAAAGGAGCTCTGGTGATACAATGGTAAAAGCAATCTGGCTGCCAACCAAAAGGTCGGTAGTTAGAACCCAAGTTCAAAGCTTTCAACTTAGATTTAGTTGTGAGCAATAAAAAAAATAAATAAATAATAAAAAAAAATCAAGCCTCAGATTGAAAAAATAAAAAAGAAAGAAATGAAGCCAAAATTTTAAGAGACTAAGCAAAGCATAAGGTGGTAAAGTGGTTAAGTGCGCGGCTGCTAAGTGAGATATGGCAGTCACCTTCTGTAAAGACTACAGTTTCAGGGCAGTTCTACTCTGTCCTCTAAGGTCACTGCGAGTCAAAATCAACTTGATCGGACAAATCGGAGGCGGGGCAAGATGGCGGACTAGGCAGAAGGATTGCACAGACCCTCTTCAACAAAGAAAAGGGAAACCAATTAACACAGACACAGAAGATAAT